TCTGGCCAGTTTCTCTCGTTTAGTCACCATCACTACCCACCCTATGTTTTGAGATGGTCTCATGTGGGTGTTTGGTTATAGGATCCCATACATTGCAACGCACAGGCTCTCCTCATCCAAGTAGAAAAACAAAACTGTGTCTATCCGGTAAGAAATTTCCATCTGGATGGTGTGAGTCCACAAGGCCTCTCAATGGTGCTAGTGCCTAGACCCCCCCACCTTCCCCACCTTCCCCACCTCTCCCACTTGGCTATACATTAAACAGAGCATTTTAGTGGCGGTGAAGGAGTCACTGAAAGCATTGAATTATGGGTGCTTCCATTTCCTGCGGTTCAGAGAGTCCTTATCCCATATGGCATAACTCAGGGCTCCCACCATCCGCAAGGAAATTCATTTGTCAAGTAGACACAAATTTTGTTTTCGTGGGGCTGAAAATGTTCTAATTGGTAAACTGAAACGTGGCAATTATTTGACAAGCCAGGGATGTTTGCAAATTTTAATACTGTGTTTAGATGATATAAATGTAGAGAAGTGTAAAGTAAAAAATATTTAGAAAACTATTCTCTAAATATAATTTCTCCAATATTTCTGAATTATTTGGGGAATCAGTATATTAAAACCCTAGCCACCATTCCCAGTATACGTGGACCGTATTACTATAAGACCTGTGTTTCTTTTTCAGGTGTAACCTGCCGCCAATTACCAGTGAATACACCAAGGACGTTGGGTCAAAATCACAACTAGTGACCGTGAACCCATCTATAATTGATAAAAGGTAACTCTGATACGGGCGTAGAAATGGCAGCAGTTGTAATACACATCTCTCGTCTATTATAACAGTTATTATATTATTGATTTCTTAAATATTTATGTATTTTGTGCCTAGAAGCACAAAGGACACATTGATTTATGTATTTTTAAACTGCTTTCCACAGGCAGGTAGGTACTCACTGACGGAACAGGAATGCAGTTACTGACAGAGCAGGTAGGCAGTTACTGACTGACAGAGCAGGTAGGTAGTTACTGACTGAGCAGGAAGGTAGTTACTGACAGAGCAGGTAGGTAGTTACTAACTGAGCAGGTAGGTAGTTACTGACTGACAGAGCAGGTAGGCAGTTACTGACTGACAGAGCAGGTAGGTAGTTACTGACTGAGCAGGTAGGCAGTTACTGACTGACAGAGCAGGTAGGTAGTTACTGACTGACAGAGCAGGTAGGTAGTTACTGACAGAGCAGGTAGGTAGTTACTCACTTCCTGTCTCGCTTATCATTGCAGGTTTCAGAATTTATTGTGGTCCAGGAAATCCTTTGTGGAGAGTGTGAAAGTTTACAATGACAGTTATCTGTACATGCCGGCATTTTCCATGAAACACGGAACTGAACCCTCGCTCCGCGCACATTACACACTGACCGACTTCCAAGCCAACCAATCAGTGCTTTTTGCAAATCCCAACTTCCTGCGCAGTATTGGGAAATTCTGGAAGAACAAGGGAGTGCACTCAAAACGCCTCTCCACCGGCCTCTTCATGGTGAGCGCTGCGCTAAGTCTGTGCGAGGAGGTTACCATCTATGGTTTTTGGCCGTTTCAAGTGGATCTGAAAGGAAGACCTATCAGCCACCATTATTACGATGATATTTTACCGCTGTCGGGATTTCATGCCATGCCGGAGGAGTTTGTACAATTATGGATTCTTCACAAAACCGGAGTCTTGAGAATACAGTTGGATCAGTGTGTCTGATGAAAGTATTCCATTGTGCTTTTGGGGGAAATAGGAAATATTCAGTATTTTGTGGATTATACCAGCGCTTAGAAAACGAACAAACCTCGTTTACGATCGAGGGCAGCTTTTCATAAAAGTGCCAAAATCCCCTCTTAGCTACGTCTTCCTGATTTCCTTTCAAACTGGCGAATGTGCACAAATTTGCTGACCTTTTTATATTTGCAGGCTGATGTTTAGAATCAAAGAAAATGAATGTAGTATTTTAATTTTTTACAGCAACAAAGATTCTTTTTATTAAGTCATTGTTAATGCTTATTTTAACTCGTTGTAATCTTATAGAACTTTCATGCCAAGGTTAATGCGGAGAATTAGGGAGGATATTGTCTGCTTGATAGGCTTTTCCAATTTTCGGTTTTAACGTTATAACTGGCGGTATGGCATGCGTGCATCTGTGTTCCAGGCATGTGTGTTGTATGTTTTATTTTGCCTGTTGCAATGCTTCCTGGGAATTCCGTCCAGTCTTGTTGAAATGCAATGTGTGCGCCGTACACCACGTTGGGTGTTGTTGAATGCTGTTTGGGGTGCGCCCAGTTGGATGGAGTGCACTACGTGGAATGTTTGACATGTTTCTGCGGTGTTTACTGGTATTTTTAATTGGTAGTTTATACACTGTGCTACGTGGCTGATCTGTTAATGCCCAGGGTTTGTAGTAACTATGGCTCAATTTGTCCCACCCGTTGCGGTCTCTAAGGGGTTTAAAGGTTAAAGGTTTGTTTTATATTCTCTTTTTTACCCTTGGGAAGATCACTATGAATCAAAAATGACAAATATCACAGAATACGTCAAATCTGTAAAATAACTTTTTCAGTTTATGTTAATAGACGATGATAATTTGTAAACTGTACTGTGCGCGGCCATTTGAAGATGTTGTGATTTTATCCCCCTGCCCACACCCCCACCCCCAGGCTCGCTATTGTCCTCCTCCAAGCAGTGAATATAAGGCTGCTTGCCACTGATCCAAACACTTAGACAGACCGACTGCTGTCTGTAGAATACTCAGGGAACACAGCAGCTCACACTGGAGGGGGACAATCAACCAACACCCCCCCCTCCATGGAGAGATTTATCAGAGTATTCTGAAAAGCATCTTTCATTGTTGATCTCTGCTCTGTTTGTATTTATTAACTTTTCTAAAAATGTCCTAATAAGTGTCAGCTCTCGACTTAAATGGACACTATAGGCATTAAAACTATTTTATCTTAATGAAGCAGTTTAGGTGTATAGATCACGCCCCTGCAGTCTCACTGCTCAATTCTCTGCCATTTAGGAGTTAAATCCCTTCTTTTTTCTGTTTATGCAACCATAGCCACACCTCCCCTGACTGTGACTGACACAGCCTGCATGAAAACAAAATGGTTTAATTTTCAATCAGATGTTAACTTACTCTAGAGGTTTTTATCTCCTGCTCTGTAAATGTAACTTTAATTGCATACAGGAGGCTTGTGCAAGGTCTAGCAAGCTATTAACAGAGCAGTAGAGAAGAAATGTTAAATTAAACAAACTGTGCAATAAAGGATGTTTAAATATTAGATCTCTCTTTACAGGAAGTAAATAAATTGATTTGACTCCTAAAAGACAGAGAATTTAGCATTGAGAATGCAGGGGCTTGATCTATACACCAAAACCACTTCATTATGCTAAACTTGTTTTGCTGTCTATAGTGTCCCTTTAAATTTGAAAAATTTTGCAGAAAAATCTATTTCTGTACAAGTAAACTTAAATTAGACAAAAAAGAGAATTGAAACAGAACACATTTCTTGAAAACAAATTGATGATAAATAAATCGGTTTATTTGCTAAAAACTGGTGTGCTTAGAAAGAAGCAATTGGCAAAAAGACAGATATATTAAACTGCACAAAAAATGCCTAAACAATGGTGCAATATTGCCTGGGACACTTTGATAAATGGGAATGTGAATATTTTGACTGTACGGTAGGATTTATAAAGATCATGAAATCTTCCCTTTAATCTCTCCGCTGGTGAAATGCCAGGCAGACACAATCTATCCATACTTGCTGATAAAATCCATGCAGATGCTCTCTGGTTCGACAGCCACTCTCTTTTGTACAGAGACCCCTTGTCTTGCCAGTTTACAGCCCATACTGCAAGCTTTCTTCCACCACAATTTCATATTGGTAGGAAATGGGGCAAACGTCAGGGATACCGAGCACATTGCTCTGTGATACGCAGTGTCAAATTTCTTGATTACTGTATTTGGTGTCACTGGCTGTTCCCTCGTCCTCTGTTTACAGGTGCAGGTAGCAGAGTTTCTGATAGTAACAGCTAATGTTGGCACTGCAGTCATTGTTGCACTATATGTTCCTTAATGGCTTGCAGTCTGCATAGCTGTAAGAGTTGTCACAATGCAGTGCCAGACCTGGTCACCTAGCTAAGGAGATTCCCTTACTCCTTCACCAAAAACGCATTTGCAGATATTGGCTGTTAGTGTGTGATGTTTAATTATCATAAATTCTTTATTTCCAGGTTTAAGTCCTTAAGGACCGTTGACGTTGCACAGCGTTCCTCAATTTGAAAGGTTTTGCCTCATCCTCGGTCTTCATTAAATTCGGAGAGAAAAGACGCATTTTGTGAATATGCGCGAGGCAGCCTGAACGTAATAATGTTTTGCATAAAACGGACGCACACTGGCGCTGGACATACGCCGATGTCGGCAACAAGGATGAGCATAGTACTCTCTGTAATTTAATGTCTAGTGATAGATTTTACATCCTTCCAGTATTACAGCATGGCTTCCTATTTCCGATTTAATTTAGATGTAATAAGCATCACACAGCAATGCATTATGGGAAGTGTCTGCAAGCCAATCACTGATATAACAAACCATTATATTGCAATTATAGGAAGATGGCAATAAACTGCAGTGGGGCTCGTTAGGCATCAAACAATATGACATTTCAAATTCTCACAGAAATCATGCAGAATTTAATTTCCTGAGGCGTAAGTGTCTGCTCCACAATGGAGGCTCGTTGCATTTTATAGCCTTTGGTTAGTGATTGCGCCGAGCCGCAAGCATTGACAAGCTGAAACAATGGCTTAGATACTAGTAAATCAGCCAATTCTGTAAAACAGGGATCATAAAGTAATGTGAGATGATGAGAGCCACAAAAGAACTGAGGGGACAGCCACAACTGTAATAAATTAAACAAATTATCACCATAGATGCAGAATTGTAGGGGCTGAAATTGAGGACAAATAGACAATGATACCAGACATCAATGGCGGAGAAAACAGGTCACAACCAATAGACAGCGATACCGGACATCAATGGCAGAGAAAACAGGTCACAACCAATAGACAGCGATACCGGACAATAATGTCAGAGAAAACAGGCCACAACCAATAGACAGCGTACCGGACATCAATGGCAGAGAAAACAGGTCACAACCAGCGATACCGGACATCAATGGCGGAGAAAACAGGCCACAACCAATAGACAGCGATACCGGACTCAATGGCGGAGAAAACAGGCCACAACCAATAGACAGCGTATCGGACATCAGTGGCAGAGAAAACAGGCCACAACCAATAGACAGCGATACCAGACTCAATGGCGGAGAAAATAGGTCACAACCAATAGACAGCGATACCGGACATCAATGGTGGAGAAAACAGGCCACAACCAATAGACAGCGTACCGGACATCAGTGGCAGAGAAAACAGGCCACAACCAATAGACAGCGATACCGGACTCAATGGCGGAGAAAATAGGTCACAACCAATAGACAGCAATACCGGACATCAATGGCCGAGAAAACAGGTCACAACCAATAAACAGCGATACCGGACTCAATGGCGGAGAAAACAGGCCACAACCAATAGACAGCGTACCGGACATCAGTGGCAGAGAAAACAGGCCACAACCAATAGACAGCGATACCGGACTCAATGGCGGCGAAAATAGGTCACAACCAATAAACAGCGATACCGGACTCAATGGCCGAGAAAACAGGTCACAACCAATAAACAGCGATACCGGACTCAATGGCCGAGAAAACAGGCCACAACCAATAAACAGCGATACCGGAATCAATGGCAGACAAAATAGGTCACAACCAATAGACAGCATTACCAGACATCAATGGCCAAGAAAACAGGTCACAACCAATAGACAGAGATACCGGACATCAATGGCAGAGATAATTACAACTATAGGGATAATTACAGTTATAGGAGATAATTATAGTCATAGGGGATAAAGAAATTACAGCTATAAGGGATAAAAAAATTACAGCTATAGGGGATAAATAATTACAGTTAGAGTGGTAAATAATTACAGATATAGGGATAATTACAGTGATAAGAGCTAATTCATTACAGTTATAGGGGCTAAATAATTACAGCTACAGGGATAATTAAAGTACACACTGCGCACATTATACAGTCTAATGAAAAGCAGCATGACCTATACAGCTATAAGGGACATATGCAGTAAACAACAACCACAATACATCTAGCACAAGACCACAATAACATCATTATACAGGAGTAATCGTTGTCTATGATCCCGATACAATGCGAGCCAGACTCACTTATCAATAAAAATTGTGCTGCTCACAATGACAGTACCAATCTGCTAATTCAGGGGCCCCGGTCCCTAGAGAAACAAGTCAATGGGTGGTTTGGGGGACATAAAGTAGAGATGGCTTGTGACCCTGGGGCAGTTCATAGTTAGTAAATTGTCCACGGAGTGCTGATTGAGTGATCAGAAGACCCAGTAAGATTAGTACTATTACATACCAAGCTACAACCAATATCATCATAAAAGAACCTTGTGTCTGTCCATCTCCTGGAAACTGTGCTGGTCAAACGTATGAATTCACCCTGGCCAGAAACCTCATTGTTGGTTGCTATCACTGGATATATGTGGTGCTTGGTGGTGGTTGTGGTTCAAATGATGTAGGTTGACTAAGAATTAGCGTGTTAGTAGATTTCTTTTGGCCCAGCCACTCTAGCCGTTCCATATTTTTCCTAAAATGATGCAGGTGATTGGGTAAGATGGGTGTACAGGTAATGCTGAGACTAGCATGTGCGCTCATTTTGTATCATGTATTAAGCACACTCCTGTAGCATGCAATCTAAATTTCCCACAATGCACCCTGCTCTTACAGGTCCGCTGGGCTATACGTAAGCTTTCCTGAGAAGAGAACGAGACCTGCAGTGTTTTATTTAATAAATGATAGGGCAGGAGGGCAGGGCTTTCTGTTTGCATGTAACCCCAGCTCTAACCCCGAGAAGAAGCATGTTCCTACTGTGGGGCCATAAAATGTGACTCAGTAATTTGCAGCCAGAGGGGCTCATAATATTCGCTATTCACGAATATTATGAGCTAAATGATGGAAAACCTCTGTGAATAATTTTTCTATAACAGCAAAGCTAGATTATTGAAATGTTAGAATTATAGATTGTTTTTAATTAATGAGCAGAGATCATGGAAAGTCATGTCATTATTTATATACAGAACAGGTATCCAGGTTTCCATTATGGAGAGAGTTGTATGTAACTTAGCTTCACCTTTTACCCCACACAATTTCCTCCCTTCCCCTATCATGTCTTTCTTAAACTGCCCCATACATTCACCCTTCCCCAGTCTCCCATTTCAAACCCTGCCCCTCGTCTCCAGTTACAATCCCTGCCCTTTGTCTCCAGTTACAAACCCTGCCCTTTGTTTCTCTTTACAAACCCTGCCCCTCGTCTCCAGTTACAAACCCTGTCCCTCGTCACCAGTTACAAACCCTGCCCATTGTCTCCAGTTACAAACCTTGCCCCTCGTCTCCAGTTACAATCCCTGCCCTTTGTCTCCAGTTACAAACCTGCCCTTTGTTTCTCTTTACAAACCCTGCCCCTCGTCTCCAGTTACAAACCCTGTCCCTCGTCTCCCGTTACAAATCCTGCCCCTCATCTCCCGTTACAAATCCTGCCCCTAGTCTCCCATTACAAATCATGCCCCTCTTCTCCCATTACAAACTCTGCCCCTAGTCTCCCATTACAAACTCTGCCCTTCATCTCCCGTTACAAACCCTGCCCTTTGTTTCTCTTTACAAACCCTGCCCCTCTTCTCCATTACAAATCCTACCCCTAGTCTCCCGTCACAAACTCTGCCCCTCGTCTCCCGTTACAAATCCTGCCCCTCATCTCCCGTTACAAATCCTGCCCCAAGTCTCCCATTACAAACCGTGCCCCTCTTCTCCCATTACAAACCCTGCCCCTAGTCTCCCATTACAAACTCTGCCCTTCATCTCCCGTTACAAACCCTGCCCTTTGTTTCTCTTTACAAACCCTGCCCCTCGTCTCCAGTTACAAACCCTGTCCCTCGTCTCCCGTTACAAATCCTGCCCCTCATCTCCCGTTACAAATCCTGCCCCTAGTCTCCCATTACAAATCCTGCCCCTCTTCTCCCATTACAAACTCTGCCCCTAGTCTCCCATTACAAACTCTGCCCTTCATCTCCCGTTACAAACCCTGCCCTTTGTTTCTCTTTACAAACCCTGCCCCTCTTCTCCATTACAAATCCTACCCCTAGTCTCCCGTCACAAACTCTGTCCCTCGTCACCAGTTACAAACCCTGCCCATTGTCTCCAGTTACAAACCTTGCCCCTCGTCTCCAGTTACAATCCCTGCCCTTTGTCTCCAGTTACAAACACTGCCCTTTGTCTCCAGTTACAAACCCTGCCCTTTGTTTCTCTTTACAAACCCTGCCCCTCGTCTCCAGGTACAAACCCTGTCCCTCGTCACCAGTTACAAACCCTGCCCTTTGTCTCCAGTTACAAAGCCTACCCTTCGTCTCTCTTTACAAATCCTGCCGCTTGTCTCCAGTTGCAAACCCTGCCCTTCGTCTCTCTTTACAAACCCTGCCCCTTGTCTCCAGTTACAAACCCTGCCCTTTGTCTCTCTTAACAAACCCTGCCCCTCGTCTCCCGTTACAAATCCTACCCCTCGTCTCCCGTTGCAAATCCTGCCCCTCATCTCATGTTGCAAATCCTGCCCCTTGTCTCCTGTTTCAAACCCTGCCCCTCTTCCCCATTACAAATCCTACCCCTAGTCTCCCGTCACAAACTCTGCCCCTCGTCTCCCGTTACAAATCCTGCCCCTCGTCTCCCGTTACAAATCCTGCCCCTAGTCTCCCGTTACAAACCGTGCCCCTCTTCTCCCATTACAAACCCTGCCCCTAGTCTCCCATTACAAACTCTGCCCTTCATCTCCCGTTACAAACCTTGCCCCTTGTTTCCAGTTACAAATTCTGCTCCTCGTCTCCAGTTACAAACCCTGCCCCTTGTCTCCAGTTACAAACCCTGCCCTTCCTTTTTTACAAACCCTGCCCCTCGTCTCCAGTTACAAACCCTGCCCCTCGTCATCAGTTACAAACCCTGCCTTTCGTCTCCAGTTAGTCTCTTTTTACAAACTCTGCCCATTGTCTCCAGTTACAAACCCTGCTCTTCGTCTCTCTTTGCAAACCCTGCCCCTCGTCTCCCATTACAAATCCTGCCCCTTGTCTCACGTTGCAAATCCTGCCCCTTGTCTCCCATTTCAAACCCTGCCCCTTGTCTCCTGTTACAAATCTTGCCCCTCGTCTCGTTTCAAATCCTGCCACTTGTCTCCCGTTACAAATCCTGCCCCTAGTCTCCCACCAACGTTTCCACTTACATATCCTGCCCGATGCCTCGCTCCATACCACCTGCCCTTGCATTGTGCCCACAAGCCCTGCACTCTGTCCACACACCTTCCCTAATACCTACCCCCCGATACCTACCTGATTGTCATTCTCATGGTAAATTTATCAAAGATCGCACAACAAACTCTACTGTGAAAGTATGTAACTGTGATATTAATTCACTAATTAATAACTGTAATGACTGCAGATTGTATTAATTGCAGTGTGCTCCATGACATGGGAGCAGATTGTATTACTTGCAGTGTGCTCCATGACGTGGGAGGCAGATTGTATTAATTGCAGTGTGCTCCATGACTTGGAAGGCAGATTGTATTAATTGCGGTGTGCTCCATGATGTGGGAAGCAGATTGTGTTAATTGCAGTGTGCTCCATGACGTGGGAGGCAGATTGTATTAATTGCAGTGTGCTCCATGATGTGGGAGGCAGATTGTGTTAAGTGCAGTGTGCTCCATGATGTGGGAGGCAGATTGTGTTAATTACAGTGTGCTCCATGACGTGGGAGGCAGATTGTATTAATTGCAATGTTCTCCATGACTTGGGAGGCAGATTGTATTATTTGCAGTGTTCTCCATGACGTGGGAGGCAGATTGTATTAATTGCAGTGTGCTTCATGACGTGGGAGGCAGATTGTATTAATTGCAGTGTGCTCCATGATGTGGGAGGCAGATTGTATTAACTGCAGTGTGCTACATGACGTGGGAGGCAGATTGTAATAATTGCAGTGTGCTACCTGATGTGGGAGGCAGATTATAATAATTGCTCCATGACGTGGGAGGCAGATTGTATTAATTGCAGTGTGCTCCATGATGTGGGAGGCAGATTGTATTAATTGCAGTGTGCTCCATGATGTGGCAGGCAGATTGTATTAATTGCAGTGTGCTCCATGACGTGGGAGGCAGATTGTATTAATTGCAGTGTGCTCCATGACGTGGGAGGCAGATTGTATTCATTGCAGTGTGCTACATGACGTGGGAGGCAGATTGTATTCATTGCAGTGTGCTCCATGACGTGGGAGGCAGATTGTATTAATTGCAGTGTGCTCCATGACGTGGGAGGCAGATTGTATTAATTGCAGTGTGCTCCATGACGTGGGAGGCAGATTGTATTAATTGCAGTGTGCTCCATGACGTGGGAGGCAGATTGTATTAATTGCAGTGTGCACCATGACGTGGGAGGCAGATTGTAATAATTGCAGTGTGCTACATGACGTGGGAGGCAGATTGTATTAATTGCAGTGTGCTCCATGACGTGGGAGGCAGATTGTAATAATTGCAGTGTGCTCCATGACGTGGGAGGCAGATTGTATTAATTGCAGTGTGCTCCATGACGTGGGAGGCAGATTGTAATAATTGCAGTGTGCTACATGACGTGGGAGGCAGATTGTATATGTGTAAATGCTTTCACATTCGGATTGTTTTTACTGTTATGATAAGAGGTTTCATGTTTTGAGCTTATGAGCGTTTTTTTTTTTTTTCTCTCAGGAAGGACAATTAAAAAACTTTGTAAAATCTGCCCCTTGGTGTTCTC